GCCATGCACTAAATTAAAATCCAAATGGATTAAAGATCTAAATATTAAAACAGAAACATTAAACTTGCTGGAAGGTAAGTTAGGCAGAACTCTGGAAGACATTGGTATAGGAAAAGACTTTATGAACAAATCCTCAGTAGCACGGGAACTAGCAGAAAGAATCAACAACTGGGATCTCATCTTACTAAAAAGCTTCTGTACTCCACTTCTTTCTTTATGGATCATGTGTTGTATGATCGGACTAATAAGAGAGCAGCACGGCCAGTGGTAGAGTCCCTCAATAGTCTACATGATGGCATCTGCCCCCTGGAGTGAGAACAGGAGGCGGTTGCTGGAGGCCAGTGAGAACTGCATAAGCAAGTGTGCTTTCCTGTCACTGGGTGTCTGGCTGTCCTGGTGTGGGCTTGGTATTTGCTTAAAGTAGTTTGAAGTCAGTTGTCAGAGCACCAGTACCTTCAAGATTGAAAAGAAAAGTGTTGGGCTTTATTTTGCTGCTTGGGTTTTCTTTGTTACCAGTGTCCTTGGTTAGTGGTGGATAAGAGAAATTTAATTTCAGTGTGGTTCATGGTGGTGTTGAGTAGCTTTTGTATTGAATTCAAAGTGGTCTTATAACCACTTTTTTTTTTTTTTTTTTTGTACTGGGGATCGAACTCAGGACCTTGTGTTTGTGAGGCAGATGGCAGAAACACTGAGCTAAATCCCTGGCCCCATTGTTTTATTTGTCACTTTAGCATCTCTGAACTTAGGAGGTGGAAATTATTGCCCTCATTTAGCAGGAGCAGCTTGGGAGGCTTAGGGAGTTGAGGCCCAGACTGGCCCACATGTAGGTGTTGTAGGGACCAGGCCTTTTTCTCTTCACTCAGGCATGGGGCTGTTGGGCGTGTTGAGGAAGGGAGGGCCAGAGTCACTCGGTTCTGCCAGATGAGGAGCACTGAGTATATTTTTTCAACCCTCTCAATGGTCCAGGTTATTGTGTCCTATTTTTGTTTGTAGTCTGTTTCTCACCAAAGCCTGGCACTTTTTTTTTTTTTTTTTGGTACCAGGGATCAAACTCAGGACCTTGCACTTATGAGGCAAGCACTGTGCCTTTGAGCTAAAACCCTGGCCCCTGGCAATGAAAATTTTGTCCATTTTTTTTTCTTTTGCAGTGCTGGGTATTGAACAGGACCTCTCATGCTAGGCTATCCTCTACCTTGGAAGCACCCTCAGCCCTGTCTTTTTTCCTATGGTGTCATTTCTGGTTTTGAATAGTTGTTGATTAATTTAGCCTTTTTATCATGTTCAGCCTTTGTTGATACTCTTCCCTCCCTGCATGTAACTCATAGATCTGAGAAATATGACAACAAACCCATCTCTCTGGATAGGGAAAAGAGGGCAGGTAATTTCTAAATAGGTTGAATTTTCTGATATTATGTGTTTGAAAAGTAAAAGGTGGCAGCTAGGCTTTTCACTAGCCAGGAATTTATAAAGTGATACTTAAGTTTCTAGTAGGCTCTGGCATAGTCTGGCAAGGTATGACATGACTAAAGGTAGGAGAGGAAATGAAGTGAGGGTTCTGGGGTGCAGGGTGTGACAGACACATTGAGTAACTGTTAAAAAGAATTTCTTCTCTACTTTTGGAAAATGAGGGCAAGTGGACAGCTGTGGCTGTCAGTCTGGTTTTTGGACTCAGGACAGTCACCTCATGCTTGAGTTTGCCTGGGGGACAGGCCTGAACAAGGTGGCAGTTTGGGCCTCCTAGAGTTGTGCATTCCCAGCTGGATGGCGTTTAGTGTGAATGTTTGCAGGAGCTATTTGTTTTTTTATGGTGTCTTCTGTGACTGTTTAGGTATCTCCCAAGCAGTAGCAACTTGTGAGTTTGTTAGAAGACATTGGAATGAATTTCCAAGGCTCAGGCCATGCGTGTGTGTCCCTGCTTTTCTCTCTTGTCCAAATCTCTGAGAGTCCTTGATAAAAGGGGGATTTTATAAAATTAATGAATCACAGAATCTGAGAGTAGTACCTTAGGTACACCTGGCTACTGATTTTCACACTTTTGTTAATAGCAGAGCTCGGCCTTCAGATCAGTTTCCCTGTAGAGGTAACAGCTTATAAAGAAAGAAATGGAGCTGCTTTGGTTGAACCTGGGAGTGTGGGCCTTGATGATGTCTCTTCTCTGTCACATGTCCATTTTATAGGGCCCTCCTAAGCACTGAGTCCCCTAGGTTCCATGGAGCAAGATCTGCAGTCTGTTGATTTAGTCCAGCCTCCTCTTTATAGAGAAGGTACCTGGAGCCTAGAAAGCAGCTTATTTTCAAACCAATGGAAGTTCTAACGTTTCTTCCCTTTTTGATTTCTGCTTTAAGTGGAGGGTGGGTTTCTGCTAAGAACTTGCCAAGAGTTGAGGTAGTAAGTAAAAATCGGAAGTGTTCTTAGTTTTCTCTGCAAGTTTATGTACCCATCCATAGGAAACACAGCCTGCTCAGGGACTTCTGGCTTCCTTTCTCTGTGGCCCATCGCCTCTCTCAGCACCTGGGCCTGCTGATCTGGACCTAGACCAAGAGATCGAGGCTAGAAGTGAGGGACCCTTTAAGAAAGGAAAGAGTCCATGCATGTTGAGTGACACTCCATGGGCTCCCATGGGTGTCCTCCCTAGCAAGCTGCAGCCACTGTCCAAAGGCCAAGCTTTCCAAACCCACCAGATCTTTGCCGACGTGGAGAAAATCTTAGGCAGGGCTCCAGCCCAACGCAGGACAGAAATAGCTGATCAGCAGGGTTTGGAGGTACCTCAGAAGGCAACAGAAAAAATCTACCCAGGATCTTCAGACCCTGAAATAGAAGAGCTGGAAATGAGGACCAGACAGCAGAAGCTTGGAGCCATGAGCCCGCAGAACACTGGGCCTCTTGAGAATGGGCAAGATGTGTTAGAAAGCAGGAGCCAGGCCCCTGTTCACGCTAAGCTTTCTGAAGCCAGCAAGGGCCCACAGCTAGGAAGGGAGAAGCATAGCCACAGCATAGCCACACTGAGCTCCACTGGCCCTGGGGGGGACAAGGGTCAGAGCCGTATTCCCTTGCCCTCTGCTGAGGAGGAGTCCTCCCTGTCCCTTTGTTCTTCTGACCACATGCTACCTACCAGGAAAAGTGAGCTGTTCTCAGTAGACGGTCACTTAGCTGAAGACCTGAGCTGGCGGGGAGTTCCTGGGGAAGGTGAAAGCCTGGGCAGGGGGAGGCGAAGGAGAGAGCCCCTAGGACTGTGGGAAGGAGAAGTCTCCAAGCTTGTCGACAGGGCCTCCCCCAGCAGCTTCAAGGAAACAGAGCCCCGTGTCCCCATGGCTCTGGAGGCCACAGCTGCAGATCCACTGCAGGGACGCTTCCTAATACGACCTGATACCTTGGCATCAGAATCAGCCCAAAATGCCTCTCCTGAGGCTCCAGCCATTGACAAGAGCCACCTCCCAGAGTCTCCAGACCCTCCCAATGAAGGTAGGAAGCCCAGTGTGACTGGAGCTAATCTGGAGAGCTGCAGCAGTGGCAGTAGCAGCCGGGACTTGCCTCTTGGCTTGCTAATCCCTGGTGAAGTGAACAGCTCCCTTGGGGGCCTGCAGAGCTCCCGAACATCTGTGCTGGCGGTGGATCATTCAGGCCCAGGGCCCAGAGATTCACACTCCTGCCCCTACCTGGCATCCCAGTTGTCTCACATGCAGAGCTCTGCTGAGGCGCAGTCAGAGAGTGAAGACTACTCTGAGGATCGGAAGTTCTACCAGCACATTCTGCAGAAGGTCAAGCTCTCCAGGAGGCTGGAGGGTCTGGGGCTGTCTGAGAGTATGCCGGAAATGCCATGCAAAGACAGTGCCGATATGGTCTGTTGCATGGCTGCTGAGCCTTTCAGGATGTCTAGTGAGGGTGAGCACGAGGCTATCAGAATCATGGAGAGGAACTCGAGGTTTCTGTCGTGGGGGCCACAGCTGCCGGAACACCCTCAGGAGGTGGCCCCTGCAAGGGCAGGGCAGGAGGTTCCTCAGCAAGCCTGCTGCCAGCCAAGCAGCAGTCCCCTCATGCAGGGGCTAGTCGAGCTGAGTTTCAACAGAGGGCTTGCTACAGAGCCGGGTGAGATACAGCTTCTCAACCAGGTAGGCTGCTTAGAGAGCATGGCCTGAGGCTTCAGGTCAAGGTAAATTTATCTGGGAGGGAGCAGGTGGATTACATCTTACCGCAGCCCTCATGTTTGCTTTCTTCTTACTTACCCTCCCTTAGTACTATTTTATTTTATTTTTGGTACTGGGGGTTGAACCTGGGACCTTGCACTTGTGAGGCAGGTCCCTTAGCACTATTGACCCCTTTACTTAAATGTCTGTCTTGTGGGACAACATGTATTTCAGGTTTCTTCTACCCTGTCTTTTGCAAGATAGGGCATTTTTGACTTCCCATCCCTGGATATAACTGTTAATTCGTGGGTGGTTCACATGCTTTGAAGGTGGTCAGTACTGAGAGTGGGCAAGGTGGCACTAATGCTGGGGATCACACAGGATATAGCCACCTTCTGGGGTTTGTGAAGCCTTTCTCATAAACTAGTTCTGAAGAAGGGTCCTTCCTAGGACGCACCCTACATCAAAGTTCTGAACCTGTTCCTCCTTAGAGGCATGCGGGGCTAGAGAGTTTATATCCTCATGAAGGACTGAGGCATGCAGTCTCCTTGTGCTGGCCAATGAGCTGTTTCTACTTCTTTCCTCTTGTGTCCCCAGAAACCAAATAGCTAGATTGTGTCTTGCTTATGCAGACCCTATTTGTGACTTCACTTCTTCCCCTACTGGGATTTGCCAAAGGGCTGGGCTGGCCCTGTCATTCTAATCCTTTGTCCCTGTAAGAGTCACCACATTCTTCATTCAGGAGAAGTCAAGTTGGATGGATCAGAGACCATGGAGATCAGTCTGAATTTCCTTGATTATTTTGCTCTGGCCCAGCTGTGGCTTTACCCAGTTGTTCCCTCTGGTTCCTAATTGCTGACGTGCACTGTTTCTCTGTTAGCTTTAATAACTACTATAGTATTATAGATATCAGATAAGCTGCAGATTATCCTGAAAGTTTTAATTAGCCCAATGGCAGCAAGTTTATCTTCTCCGAAGGACAACGCCACGCAAAGCCCCACCCTCAGAGTTAATGGCTATCTATAGAAGATGATCAGCTAGGAGTCAGGAATGTATAATTTCCCTGCTAACCATTGATTTAGTAAAGGCCCAGGAGAACAAAGCCCTCAGCATGCCTGTCTCCCTCCCTCAAGCCCCCAGCACGTTAGCAAATTAGCCATGTTAGGAGTCTGTAATTTTCCATAAATACAGAGTGCGAAGAATTTGCTTGCTGATATGCTGAGGCTGGTTGGAAGGGCTAAAAGTAGGAGGGGCAGGGCCAGATTTCTCATCGTTCACTTAGAGAACCTCTTTTTTCTTTTTTTTTTTTTTTTGCAGTACCGGGGAGATCAAATTCAGGATCTTGCGCTTACAGGCGCACGGTGCCACTGAGCTAAATCCCCAGCCCTGGAAGGGGTTCTTGATCTCACCAGTCTCCATTTGCTCAAGGGGAGTGTGGGTAAAGGCAGAGCCTGTCTTGGGTTGTCATGAGAGTAAGATGTGACATTACATATCTGTGGTACATTTTGGCCAGTTTTATGTGTCAGCTCTTTTTTCTCCCTAACAACGATACTCTACAACAGTCTAGATGGTTTGGGATCTGCAGAGACTCAGGGGTGGTTCTCACCTCACCTTTCAGCCAAGCATCCAATGCCTGCCCTATGCAGAAATAGGACTGCCCTTGTCCCTGGCTTCTAGGCTGAGGCTGTGGCTGAGAAGATGGCCAGTCTGAACTTCCTCAGCCTGACCTCTTCTGGGTTCTTTGTTCTTCATTTCCTGTGGAATTAGAGGTTAACAAGACTTTTGCTTTTTATACATTTTAAGTTTGAGAGAAAAAGAGCTCTTTGTAAATTGTCCCCAGAATGCTGATTTGGCCTATGCTTTTTTTTTTTTTTGGTACCAGGGATTGAACTCAGGACCTTGTGCTTGCGAGGCAGGCACAGTGCCACTAAGCTACATCCCCAGCCCTCTTTTTTTTTTTGAGACAGGGTCTCACCACGTAGCTCAGACCAGCCTTGAACTCACTAGGTAGCCCAGGCTGGCCTTCAACTCACAGCAACCCTCTTGCCTCAGCCTCCTGAGTGCTGGGTTTGCAGGTATGTGTCACCATCCCTGGCTGGCCTGTGCTTCTGTAAGACCAGGCAATTATAATGGGAATCCGAGCAATGGTAGCATCCCGTAATATCCAGGTGGCCTGGGCCACTCACAAAGGGCCCTTACATTCATCATCTTGTTTGAGCTGCTCAGTAAACCTTCTCTGGGGGCATAGCACCCACCCTCTTCATCTTGCAGATGAGTAAACTGGGAACCTGAGAGTCTGTCGGTCTCACACCTTCTGCCTCAGTCTAGTTTCTTTCTCCAGTCCTGGCTGGCACAAAACCTTTGTGAGAGCAGGGTGGAAGACCTTGCTCTGTCCACTGCAGCTCCTTGACAGGTCTTTTCTCAGCGCCTTCCTCAGCAGAGGAGAGGGGAGAGAGAGTTCTTTTGTTGTTTGTGCATTTTTTTTTCATTTTCATTAAAGTACTAGATGCCCATAGTTTAAAAAAAAATTCCAAACCAAGTGAAATAGCACCAAAAGGCGTATGACAAAGTACTGCAGTTCTCCAGGGTGCAGAGCCCTCCCGAGAGGCGGCCACTGTTTTCTGGTGTTTACTTCCATCTTTGTCAGTAATATGCTGAGATTGCTTTTTCTGTACTCATCAGTTTTAAGCTCTATCTGTTGAGACTTCTATCGGGTAGATGAGGGGTTTGTCTCTACCTCCCTCTCCCACATACTTCCTTCATGGCTTCCGAAGGGAGAAGAACCCAGTGCAGCATCTGCCAGATGTGAGAAAAGTTTATGTGCGCTAGCATTCAAGTTATTAGAATCAGGAAACAAGCCTGTGATTTCTCACACAGTTGGCACAGTGGCAGTTTCTGGATGTTGTGTTTCATTAGCATCCTCCAAGCGGAGGTGGTTTAAATTTGAGTGGGCAGGATTTAGATGTTTTATTTTTGTATCTGTCTCCGACACTCTCAGAGCCATGTGGTTTCTTGGTTTTGTGACAAGATGTTTTCCATTGCCCAGGCTCTGGGTTCCTCATTAGCCCCGATCCATGTTCCTCTCGGGGGCCTGGCTCCTTTACGAGGCCTCGTGGATGCCCAACCCTCTGCTCTTCGTGGATCTCAAAATGTGAGTCCGGGGAGCTCTGCAGAATCTGGTCAGCTCGAGGAATTCCCACCGGTGAGTACTTTGCTGGTGTGCGGTGTTTAGTTATCGCCAGGCCTTCTAGAACCAGGGCCCATAGATGAAGAGTAGAGAGAACAGCCTGAGTCCTCAGAATTCATAATCAGTGCAGGAGCTCAGTCACGCCCATGTGACACCGAATGTGGATGCTGGGCAGTAGAGGACAGGTCACGGCAGAAGGTTACCAGTGCTGACTTCCTTGTCCACGCAGCCAAGCAGTGGGAGGTGGGGTCCCCAGGTCAGCTTCCTGGACAAGGGGGCACTTGATCTGAGGGATGTCTACACAGAGAGTAGGAAAAGCATTCCACAGTCAGTCTCTGAGTCTTCCTAGTGAATCCTCCCTAATTTCCCTTCTCTATTTTGGAGCCTCCACAGGGTCTCAAGACTTCTGTTTCTACAAAAGGTCTCTTGGGCCCCATCCATGAGGATAAGAATGCTGTCAACCTCTTGGCTTTAGGGGAAGAGACCAATGAGGATGAGGAGGAGAGTGATATCCAGGTAATGATGAAGTCCTCTTCCTGGCTTATGAACCTTCTATACAATTTCGTTTTCTAGAAAAATTTTTTTAGGGGCTGGGGATGTAGTTCAGTGGCACTGTGCCTGCCTGGTAAGCACAAGGTCCTGTGTTTGATCCCCAGTACTGAAGCAAAAAAAAAAAAAGGAAAAAAAGAAAAGAAAGATTTTTTTTTATTGCTGTGGTAAACTATGTATGATGTAAAATTTGTTGCTATTATTATTATTATTATTTTTATTTATTTATTTATTTATTTATTTATTTATTTATTTATTTATTTATTTATTGTTTTGCAGTACTGTGGACCCAACCCAGGGCCTTCACACTGAGCAACATTTTCAGCCCTTTAAAAAAATTTTTATTTCAAGATAGGATCTTGCTAAGTTACTGTGTTGCCCAAGCTAGGCTTGAACCTATTTTCCTGCCTCAGCCTTCCAGAGGGCTGGGATTATAGGTGTATGCCACCATACCCAGTCATTTTAACTATTTTGAAGTGTACAATTCAGTGGTCTTAATACCTTCGCAGTGTTGTACAGTCATCACCACCCTTTATTTCCAGAAGTTAGTCATAATCCCAAATAGAATCTCCCTACCTGCTGGGCACGGTGGCTCATACCTGCAGTCCTAGCATGTGGTAGGCTGAGACAGGAGGATCACCATGAGTTCGAGGCTAGCCTGGACTATATAATGAATTCAAGACCAGTCTGAACTACATAGCGAGACCCTGTCTTCAAGCAAAAAACAAACTCTTTACCCATTAAACAATCCCCTTCCTCTCTAGCTCCTGGTAACCTCCAGCCTAGTTTATTTCTCTATGAATTTGCCTATTTCTAGATATTTTGTTTAAGTGGAATCATACAGTATTTGTATTTTTCCTTTTGTGTCTGTCATCTTTCATTTAGCATGTTTTCAAGGTTTATGTTGCAGCATTCATGTGAATGTAATTCTCTTCATTCTTTTTGAAGGCTGAATAGTATTCCACCACATTTATACCACATTTTTTTAATCTCTCATCTGTTAATGAATACATGGGTTGGTTTTACCTTTGGCTGACCTCTTTGCTATTTAAAAAAAAGGAAAAATGATTTTGTAGCCTACAGTTTCATTTTTTTTCTTTCATTTTTTTGGTTTGGGAGATCTAACTCAGGTCCTTGTGCTTGTGAAGCAGGTAGCAGAACCACTGAGCTAAATCCCTGGCCCCAGTTTCATTTCTTGATCAGTCTGTATGTATCCTAGGTCTGATCCTGAAGACACAGCTGAGGAGCTTCCTGGCTATTTTCTTGGCACAGAGAATTGTTCACACTGGATAAAGGACTGCTTAGTGGCTCCTGCTCTGAAGCTCTGGCTGGGCTCTGCCTGCCAGCTTAGCAGGACCCCACTCTCCCTCTGTGTGTCCCTCCCCTGGGCTGGCCACAGACTTATCTGGTCCCATGATCATTTTTGTTTCTAGAGTGTCCACAGCTCCAATGAGTTTTTTAAGAACCTGCACCTGGATCTCGGGTCCCTGGGGGAGAACTTTGAATATGAGGTAAGAGCCTGAATCCCCTGCCGACAAATGCCTCAGCCGGAGATCCCTCCTTCCTTCTGAGGCCTTTTTGTCTGTGGATCATATTTGGAAAGATACCCATTTTGTTCCAGTCTTATCCAGGATTTGTGGGGTTTAGAGAAAGACAAAAGTAGCAGTTTACTTACTCATATATTAAATAACCATTTCTTGAATGTTCATGCCTGGGACACTTCACTAGGTGCTGTAAGACCTGTGAGCATAAAGGAAATCTGCTTATTGCTATCTCAGATTCTGCAGTTTCAAAAACTTAGGGAGAAGAAATTACCCGTCTGGACATCGGGGCAAACTTGGTAGAAGAAATAACTTATGAACTGAGTCTTGAAGAGCCACTGAGTTTTAGACATGGTGGATTTGAAGGAATATTCTAGGCAGTTGAACAATCTGAGTCAAGGTTCAAGGGCTGAAAAATGCAGAATGTAAATGGGAATAGCTTCGGGAACACCCTCCCCAGTTCTGATCCCCTTCTCTGAAGTCTGTCCTCTTTCCCATGAGAATGTTCTTTATAAAGAAGAAAACAAACAGCAAAACTCATCGTGATTTAATGCCTATGACCTCCAATGTGTATTTGCACTTGGAAGGGAACATCTCCTACTATTCATTCTTTGTCTAGTCTGATTTATTAATTTTTAAACAACTGAAATTTCTTTATTCCCAAAATATTTTCACAGCCAAAGGATCATGAAGTCAATGAGTTTGACTTACACAAACATTTAAATACCAGCTGTAGGCTTAATCATTTAAACTTTTCATAGGTCTAGTTTATCAAATTCTTTAAATACCTTAAACACCTTAAAATCAAACCAATCACTCACACCTTATTAGAATGATCACAAAACAGGCCAGTAAAACAAAAGTGCCGCTATCATAAATTTAAATTTGTTTCCTTATTATACCTTGTTCTGTTTTTTTCTTTTCTTTCTTTCTTTTTTTTTTGGTTGATATTGGGGATTGAACCCTGGGAGCACTGAGGTACATCCCTAGTCCTTCTTATGTTTATTTTGTATTTTGTGACAGGGTCTTGCTAAGTTGCCCAGGCTGGCTTTGAACTTCTGATCCTTCTGCTTCAGTTTCCTTAGCTAGGACTACCAGGCTTTCTCCCTTATTATTTCTGACTTGGTTTTCTTGGTGTTTCTCTCACCTTCAGAGCCAAGGGACTGTCTCAGGCCAGCTGAGGTTACAGATGTTGGCTGACAGGCCCTGATTTGGCTCTTGAGACCTGAGCTAGACCTCCCACCCCTCTCTCCCAAGGGCACAGCTCTATCTGTTGGACAGGACCTTCTTCTTAGGTTTTTGCCTGCTAGAGCAGATGTTGTCCAGTGTTTTGGATCTATATAGTCACATAAGTTTTCTGCAAAATGTGGCACTTTTTTCTGAGTGTCCCATCTGTTTTATTGACCTGGTACATATGTACTTTGAAATGGTTCCTTCTGAGTGGAGCTTAGTCTGGTTGGGTGCCCCAGAGGCCTTCATTCTGTTTGATTCCCTGCTATGACAACTTTGTTCCACCCACACCTACCATTAAGACCTGCACTGACTGATGGAGTCAAAGGGGCTGCCCTGTTTTGCTTATAGGACAGTGACCTTGAGTAGTTATGAGAGTATCAGGCAGACTTAGTTGCTTTTGGAGGAAGAGGATAGTTTCCTAGAGACTGAGCAAGTTGAGGGTGGATATTCTGCCTATTCATATCTGTATTTCAGCACCGTGCCCACTGCTTGGAACATAGGAAGCCCGCGGGGATGTTTTGTTAAACAATGGAGAGTGAATACATGAATGAAGGAGTTATGCTGGGGTGGGGTGGGGGATATCTAGGCAAGTTGTACAGTGTTTTTTTCTTCCCTTGATTTTCTTAGGTTCTGGGTAGAGCGGTATTTGGTTCTTGGTATCAGCTGGTGGATCACGTCTCACTGTGATCTTTAACTATTTAACTTTTACTTTGTAGTGGGTTGTAGATGTCAACAAAAAGGCATTTTCATTTTTATCATGTCCTGAATTTCTTGAAGGTTTTCTTTCTGATGATTATGTGCTTTCAGTGGGGGGAGTGGGAACTCGCAAACATTTTATAACCTCTTTAATATAAATAGGCCCCTCAGTGTGACGGGAGAAATGTCTGGAGTGGGTAGTGTTAAATACACCTCCCACCCCTGTCTCTCTCTGCCCAGCAGATTGAGTTCTTTTTGCCTCATGGGGTGTGGAATTCATATGTTCTAACTTCAGGCAGGAATTAGGGCTTTTTCTCCTAGGAAAACTGGTAGTGGGGATGAATGATGGTTTTAGAACAGGCAAAGCTGCCTCTGCTTGGGCCCTGGCCTTTGAGAGTGCCTTTTGTCTCAGCTTATAGTCCTTGGATCCTTGGAAATGTCCACCTTTCCCTACTGTCTGGCATCCCGGGCAGCCTTTTCCTAGAGTGGTTCTTCCTGGCTTAGCTCTGCCTTGTCTCACTGAGCTGTCACTTTGCTCATGATTCCATGAGAGGGCAGTAGGTGGCAAGAATGCATTTTTCCCTCTGTCTCTTGATCCTTCCTCTTCTGTCTTCCAATTTAAACCCATTTCTAGTCTATCATAGACTCAGAAGGGAAAGAAAGGTTCAGGGAACCAGCACTGAAAACTCATATGAAGAAGGTGGGAGAGGCAGAAGAGTGGGCGAAAAGGCAGTATGTGGCCATGTGGGGCTGATGAAAAGCCCATCAGCAGATCAAAGGAGCAGGAGGGAGCCTGGGCTTAGAAATAACAGGATGATGTCAGTGTGATTGGAAAGCGCTAACTACACTGGGGAGCTGTGCAAAGAGTTGAGACCAACTTGGGGGCGGTGGTGAGACCAGGAAAACAAACTGGACTGATGTTTGGCCTGGTGGTTGGTCTCTCCAGGCAGATCAGTGCATGGACATGGTGTTCAACCCCCCACCCCATATGATTGTAGGAGTTCCTGCCCTTGTGTTCTGGTCAGGAAGTGGAGACTGTAGCCCTGGAGAGTTCTGGCTTTTGGGAGAGGGTGTCAGATATTCATGAAATGGTTCTTATATGCGCTCTTTGCAGGCCTCTCCTCATGCAGATGGCCTTGTGATGTTCAAGGACCTGGGGCAGTAGCAGCAGGAAAGGAGTGTAAGCTCAGGTGAGCTGAGGGCAAAGCTGTACACCCACAGAACCCAGGGCAGGAGACTGCACAGGCACCTGAGTGTACATGCTGGGTGGGGACCTGCGGGATCAGGTCTGGTAACATGCCAAGGAGCAGCCACTGGGAGAAAAGAGATGGGTGTGAGTCAGTTGTACTCAGCTCTGATTCTCCATTTGTGTAATCTCCTCTGCTTTCTCCACCTTCAAGGTGTGCCTCTGGCTGTCCTGTCATTGGAGTTCATTGACAAGGTGCAGAGAATGCAGGTCACTTATTTTAATACCAGCCATGTTTTAATACTTAGGTAGACAGACAAAGATCAGCCCCATCATATGAAAAAAATCTTTGTGTTTTGGGGTGCTTTGGGTTGAACTCAGGAGCTTGTTCATGTTAAGTACACACTCTATACTGAGGCACGCCCCAAGCTGAAAATCTTCTTTTGAAGAATTTAAGGTGTAAGACTTGGTTAGACAGGGCCAAAGTTATTATGTAGTCTACTTGTAGTCTCTCATATATGAGAACGAGAATCTCAAACTGTATCTGGTATTTTCTGATTTTTGATAGGTTGCTGTTTTTCCATCACTTTGAATAATTAAATTAATAGTGAACATTTATTTGTTTGGTATTGTCCACTTAATAGGCACCATAACTACTATATCGTCTAATCCCTGCGTGACCTTGACAAATAAATATTACATCTCCATTTTACAGTGTAGGAAGAGAAACATCAGTTCCTCTATCTGCACAACATACCTATATACTTAATGATTTTTTTTTTTTTTGGTGCCAGTGATACTAGTTTCGTTGTTTTTACAGTGTAGAGAGAGAAACATCAGTTCCTCTATCTGCACAACATACCTATATACTTAATGATTTTTTTTTTTTTGGTGGCAGTGATACTGAGGATTGAGTGCAGGGCCTTTGCACTAAGCTACATTTCCAGACCTTTAAAATTTTTTTATTTTGGTACTGGGGATCGAACTCTGGTGCTTGTGCTTGCAAGGCAGGCGCCAGAACCACTGAGCTAAATTTTTTTATCTTGAGACAGGGTCTCATTAAGTTTCGTAGGCACTCAAACTTATTTTCCTCTTGCCTCAACCTCACAGAGGCTGGCTTGATTTTTTAAAAAATCCAGTCAACAAGCCTTTATTGAGCATCTGTTATGTGTAAGAAACTGGGTACTGAACACAATAGAGAGCAAACCTGGTGAGGGAAACAGACCAGGAAGCCAGCATTTATGACAGGCATTATGGAAGAGGATGGGGAAAGCTGATGTCAGGTCAGCTGGCCCAAGACCAAGGAAATCTTCCTGGAAGAGGTGATGTGAGGACCAGGGAAGTTTGTCAGAATAGTTTTGTGTGTGTGTGTGTGTGTGTGTAAGAATGTGTATGGCAGGGCAGAGGTAGTTCAGTGTTAGAGTACAAGGCCCTGGGTTCTATCTGCAGCACACCTCACCAAACAGAAAAGCATAGCAATTTAGAGAAATACCATGGTTTTATGTGCATGCAAGAGAAGAGAATGTGACCAGTCTATGGCTGGAGATGAGCCATGAGAAGCAGGCTGGAACTGGCAAGCAGGGCTGTAGGCTAAGTGAGAAGGAGAACTTCATCCTCATCTTGGAAGCAGTGGTGCTGCCAGGGGCCTGACACTTCCCTGTTACCTGGCATCCCTCTTTGGGCCAAGTTTCACTCCCAGCTTTAAGCAGGAGAACCTTCCTTAATCCCAGATGAGCCCAGCCAGGATGGATCAACACTACTTGCTGAGGGAGGGCATGTGGCCGGCCCCTCTCCTACCCTAAGAAGCTGTCACTTTGGAGCCTACAGAGCCCCACAGACCAGTCATGGAGCCTTTTCTGAGTTCTGGCCACTGCTGGGAAGTGAGGCCTAGCTTGTCTGCAGAAGAGGAGCTCTTTCCCCTTCGCTCAACCTAGGGATCATGCAGATTATTTCTGTATGATCTTGGAATTCTTGAGGCGAGGGAGAAGTAACACTAGGTAGTACCCGTGTTCTCCAGTTCGCCTTCTGCTTTTCTTCCAAGTACAAGTTGGGGCTGATGTCAGGGTCACCCCAGCATCTGGTGTTCCTTTGCTTTGGGCAGTAAAAGCTTATAATGAGGCCCATCTGGGACATTTTGCTTTACTTGATATTGGCTCAGTTCCCTGAGGGAAAGATGTATGTCTCAGTTATGTTTGGTTCTTCAAAGTAGTGTTTGCATATAGAAGGTGCTCAGTGGATGAATATGTGGGTCTTATCATACAGTACTAGGTAGTATTTACTGAACACTCACTGTATATCAGAACCCTTCTAAAGTTCTGTAACCCACTGAATCAGTGTTAACTCATTTAGTCTTGTGGGCACTGTTATATCCTTGTATTTTGGGGGAGCAAACTGAGGCACAGAGAATTTACCCCATCTAAGGTCATACATTTGAAAGGTTGGCGCCAAGATTTGAGTCTAGGTTGCCTGTCTCCAAAGCTGAGCTGTGTACTGCTTTGCTTTACTGCCTGTCTTTACCATCTTTGGAAAGCTTGGGTTAGCTTATCATTAGGCTGCCAGACCTGCAGGTGATGGTCATATCTTTGGGCTGAGTAGATGCTTTACCAGAGTGCTCTCATCAGTAAATGCCATGTTTAGGGCTTCTCCTTGGATCTTTTGATTCTTGTGGCAGTCATCTTCTATCACAGCAGTGAGATATCTGAAGTAATTAACTTGTGAAAGAGGTTTATTTTGGCTGTGTTCCCTGATGAGTTACCCCATTGTTTTGGGCTGTGGTGAGGTAGCACACCGTGGTGGGCACACGTGGTAGAGCAGAACTGCTTACATCTTGAATCAGGGAGCCCAGAGAGGAAGGGACTAGGGCCCCGCAATCCCCTTCCAGGGCATGCGCCCCAGTAAGGACCTCCAACTAGGACCTACCTCCTATAGGTTCTACCACCTTCCAGTAGTTCTACCTGGGGATTAAGCCTCAAACACATCAGCCTTTGTGGGTCATTCGAGATCTAAACTATTTAACACAGTCATCATGCTCCTTGTTTGAATCTTCAGAGTAGAGAAGCAGAAAGTCTTATAATTTCCTGGTCAGGAGTTGTTCAGCCTGACAGCCCATGTATTAGTATAGATGTTTTCTGGAGGGAGGTCTTTGCAGCCTGAGCCCAGGAGAGAGCAGTGGGTAGATTTCCAGAGAAGGGTTTTGTCCCTCTATTTTGGCCAACTTGAGAGAATTCAGTGGAAGTGGTCATAGATTTTTACTTGTCTTTAAATGAGGTTTGTGTGTGAGAAGCAGGTGTGGTTGGTCTTGAGGTGTGCTGCTCATATCTACTTATATGAGATCCTGCTGAGTGGAACTTAGATTGACAGCAGCCAGCTGCTGCCCTTTTGTACTCCCTGGTTTATGCCTTAAACCATGCTTCCTCTTGGTGATAGGTAACATGGGTTGAAGGGCAAGGCTATTCCCGCCTGAGTGCGGTCCCTTTAGTGATATTCTGCTGGAACGCTGTACTGGGCTGGACGTCACTTCTCAGAACTATACTGTGCTTCCTTCCATCTCTCCTGTCTTCCTTCTCCCCAGGAACCGGTTCAGAGCTGCATCATGTTCTGAAAGGCCTCCCTGTCTCCTTTATCCCAACAGACATTTCCTTTAATAGATCTTTTGTACATCTAACCCCATCATGACATCTGCTTTCCAGGGGACCCAAATTGACTGTCCTGGATGGAGGAAACTGTCTGCAAAGTTGTCAATGATCAGCTTGTACAAGGGAGGCTTTGGGGAGGAAGGGAACGCTCTTTGGTTTCATCTGCTGCCATCTTTCTCTCGTGATTTCTTATCATCATCTTAAATGAATCTTGGCTTCTGAGTTTGTAGTCTTTTGGCTAACGGGGCTGGAAAGAGACAGATTTATTACTAGAGGACGTGATAGATGATGGGAGAGTTGTGTAGTTCAATGCAGTGATTTCTAAGCCCATCAATGGATAGGAGTCCAGTTGGACATATCCAATCACCATAGAAATTCCAACCTAGTAGATTTGAAGTGGACAGGAATCTGTGTTAGGTGTTGGAAACTTGGGGTGAAAACCCAGGCACTAGTCCACGGGAGTCAGGAAATAGCAGCTCTATCTTGTAGCATGTCTCTAAACTGCTTTTCTGTATTCCTCATGTTTTCCTTTTCTGACATCATCTGTGGTCCCTAGGAGTCTCCAAGAACAAGTCAGCCAGTGGAGAAGGACATTTCTCTTGATTCAGACATTGCTGGCCCCACTACTCCTGGAAAGCTCTTCAGACAAGGTGCAGACAGTAGTCTGAGCAGTGCTGATGACAAGGGACCACAGGACAGAAGGTCAAGCTCTTGGCTCCCAGGAAAAGAAGAGAATGAGAAGAGTGACCCTGTGGCTTTCACATGTCCGGTGACTCCTGGAGTCGACCCTGGGCTTGATCAGCTTGCCAAGGCCTCTAAAAAGGGCTCTAAAGAGGAACTGATAGATATAAGAGAGAAAGGTTCCTTGACAGAAGAAGCTGCAAAAGAGCTAAAGAAGGAGGCTTTTACCCCAAAAGAGAGCAGATCAGATGCCATCGAAGTAAGTCACTGTGGTGTCCCCTAAGTACTGGCCACCTGTACCCTCTGCTGCTGTCTCTGACCCTGTGAAACTTCCTATCCCCACACCTTCATTACTGAGTCAGAAGCTTCATTTGAAGGCTTGTACTGGGCTGTCAGCATCAGCCATAAGCCTTAATTGTGACAAATATACCCAGACCCAGCAGGCAGTAAAATCCTGAGTGCAACTGCAAATGTGCTGGCACTAGAAATTTAGAGCAGAAATGAGCTTTTCCATTGGCCCCCTTCTGGGATGTTCATGTTCTTCACTGCTCCTGCTTACTTCTTCTTTCCCTTCCCTGCCTCTCCCTCTACTTCTAGTTTGGTTTACTGCAATTTGACTGAATTCCTCTGTAGAGAGAGGTGTGTGTGTGTAGGGCGAAGGGTACCATAGTTGATAGTGTTCTGCCCCAGCACAAGTAGCACAAGTATATTAAGTTACAAAAAAAACCTTTTTTTGGGGGGGGGGCACTGGGGATTGAACCCAAGGCCATTGCATTGAGCTACATCTCTAGTTATTTTTAAATTTTTTTTTAACCTTGAGACAAGGTCTTGCTAAATTGTTAAGTTGCTCAAGCTGGGCTTGAATTTGTGATCCTTCTGCCTCAGCCTTCCAGAGTGCTGGAATTACAGGCTAGTATTGTACTGCAGTCCTCAGGATCCCACATCCTGGGATTACAGGAGTGTGCTGTCATGCCTGGCAAGGAGACTCTTCTGCTTGATTTGAATGGCTCTTTCTGAGGCAGCACAAGACATGGAAATGGTTGCTTTTACCAGACTATGCCCGTGACTATAATGGACAGAAATATGTCTTTGGATAGCCTTTGGAATTTTAGGTTTTCTAATCCTTTGGTTCTCAGGGCAGAGGGAATTCATTTAGCTTTTATCTACTTCCTGGAAAAGGTATCCTTTTCCCATTTTTTAGTATAGCATCAAACTTCTGTATTGCCAACTTTCTAATCATCTCCACTGCACTTGCCTCCTCTCACATGTGACACTGGACTGATCTGATTCAGAGCATGGTTGTCTGCACTCAGATGGGCCACTCAGCCCTGGCTGGGCGTGGGAGAGAGATTTGTATGTGTGTCTGGAGAGAATGTCAGGGTCTTTGCAGTTTTAAGAAGAGGTAGATTTCAGTTTGGCTTGATCCTCTGCTCTGCTCTGCTCTGGGGATTTCTCTGTGCATCTGTCTCCTTAGGACTTGAAGATTAGTGAACGTATGAAGGAACCACAGCTCTCAGACTCCATGGCTTCTGACCCCAAGTGCTTCCTTGGCCTGGTGAGTTTGCAATAAGAGGCAGCATTGTGGGAGACAAGAGCATGGATTTTTGGGTCTCCTGGGTTGAGTAATTTGTCTGGCATCACAGAGGTAGTAAGTGGAGAAGTTAGGACTCAACATTGGGCCTTGTTAGCTCCTATCTCTCAACCTGTTAACTACAGATAAGTGTATCTGTCTATATATTTGCTAGGAGAATAAAGTGAGGTAGAGAAGTAAAACATGAGCCTTTCGACATTAAGTAAATGTTAGCTGTTATTACTTTTACTGTAAGTGAATTGTCTATGAGATCATGTGAGCTTCTTGTAAGCTCTAGCTGGGATGCTACCCAGGTCTAGAGGTTGTGTTTCTAGTACCACTGAGCAATGAAGCAAGGTACAATCTCTAGGTTTTGGCTGGGAGGGCTGCTATGGTGAAGGTTTTGTCCTAGAGTACAAGCATCCATAGTTTTTTTGTCCCAGACCCTCTGCCCAACCTGCAGTATTCTTAATTTGCTGTGTCTGAGTCTAAGGGGAGTAGTTGGGGTACTTTTGGGCCAAGTATTACCTCTGAATACCTCCCTCCCATCTGCTTGCAGAATGTAGATGAAAGGCAAGAGATTAGTAGGCGAGGGTCAAGGATGAGCAGTGATGATATGGAACAGGGGGAAGAGGAATTAGGAGGCTGTGTGCTCTAGGGGAAAGATGGCAGATACAATATGTGGAGTGGAATTCAAACTGAAAGATGAGTGTCACCGAAAGAGCAAACCCCACAAACTAGGGAGGGAGACGAAAAGTTATTGTTGTTGGCAAAAACCATTGGTGAAGAGTAGCCATATCGTGTTCAGCCAGTATCACTGATCTGGAAGCTAAGAATCTGGCCCTCCAAAGCAGCCACCATGTGGTGAAATGTGCCTGTCATTCCCCTGCCACCCCTCTATGGGATAGAGGGAGAAAGCCATGGACAGCAGGACTAGCCCTTGTCTGGGTGTGCCGCCATTTATTGGGGCCGATGGCAGAACTGTCCCCATTAGCATGCTGTTGGACAGCAGTCCTTAGCCCAGCAGGATCTTGACTTCGGTGTGAGGGTGGTCCTGTGACAGCCAATGGGCATTGAGGAGCTGGCCCTGGGTTAGGCATTTGCTGCCTGTCCTACAGAGAAGTCTGCAGAGAAAGCACTGTTAATTAATTCCCATCATCCAGAGGGGTGCTTATAGGTGAAGGGGGAAGGCTTGAATGAGCTGGAAGTTGCCCACCAAACTTCATTTCCAAGCTGCCCACAGGTTTTCTGGCACTTGTATTGCCCTGGTTGGGCACTGAGGGGGAGAGACAGCTGGAAAGTGACATGCTTTGCAGCACATATCCTGGAAAGAGCTTGGGTTTTGGAGTCAGCCCCAGGGCCTGTCTGACCCCCAATCCCTTTGCTTATCAGTTGTGTGACCTTGAGCAAATTGTGTGTGCTTCCCAGCCTGCTTCCACATCTGTGATTATTTCTGCCCGTGATTTTATTATGAAAAATTCAAACATCTGGAGAACTTAAAAGAATTTTGCAGTGATTACTCACATACCACTTAGCATCTACAATAAACATTTTTCTATACTTGCTTTATCACATCTGTGCTTCTAGTTGGTATTATTTTGAAGATTAAATTAGTAGATGGCCACATATTTATTTAGCACAGTACCTGGATGCTTTTCTGGAAGGTTGACATTAGGGGTAGAGGAGAGGCTTTTGTGAGTCGTATGACAGAGACATAGTTGACTTTCCTATCTTCATTGTCTCTAGGAATTTGGTTTTCATAGCCGAGTCACAGAGGACCTGCTAGATGGTGATATGCTTTCCCCAGACCTCCACGATGGAGTCCACTGCGAGGTAAGTCTCTCTGGGTGCAACTGGGCTAGGACCTCATTTTCCATGGCAGCCACTTTTTGGGATAGTCCACAGTGATTCTTGCCCATCCTGGCATGCTCTTCTGAATGTTGTTTCCCTTTTAATTCCTTAAGGCATGGCTCTGACTGTACCTTTGATGGGGCTTCTGACTGTTCCTACTCTGTTGCTGCTTTGAATTAAACCATTTTCTCTATCTATTTATCAGTTTATTCATTCATTGAGCAACTGATCATTGACCACATCTGCTTATGTGCGAAGTGTTGTGGAGACTGGTTTTAATGGCCCTTCCCAGCTTGGGCCATACATCCATCCTTTCCAGCTTCATGCTCAGCCCGCCTGCCCCATCGGCTGAGTCTGCCCTTCATCCTTCTGAGTAGCCCTTCCACCTCAACTACTGCTGGGCCTGCTGCTTTCTTCCCCTTCTGCTACAGCAGAACCCTTCTGGGTTTGGAGGCCCACCTCTGAAGCTCCCTCCTCCAAGCAGGATGAATTGTTCCTTCTCTTTGCTCCCTTTAGGGCTTCTTGTTTTGTTTTATGGTTATGTGTCTTTCCTTGTCAGATGTACCCTCTGTGTGGGCACCAGGACATTTGACCCAGGTAGGCTATAAGGGTGACTGAAACAGAGATCCTGTCCTTGAGGATTAAGACAAGAGGATTGGTCTTTTTCCCCCTTTCTGGGTTGATCAGAAAGATTCTAGCACATGATCTCTGCAAATTTAAGGAGCATTTGGTTTGAGTGAAATAGAATTTTATTGGGTAAAACAAACAAGCAAACATGCTAAACATGTTTAGTATGAACCCAACCTGGGAGTCCTTAGTGAAATGCTGGGACAGGCTAGAGTTTTTAGGTTGATTGCATTTGAGTCCTTCATGTTCCTCCCATGTGTGGCTGATGCCTTCCTGGGCTGTTGTCCTTCCACCAGGTTTCTGCTAGACTTTGGTCACCCTATTTGTGGTACTTGAGGATATAAAAGTACAAACAAGGGCAAATTGGAAGTCAGGAGGAGTTTGTGGCAGGTAAATTGTTAGGCCCCTTTGGCAGCAAGTGAGTGGGAGAGCTGCTGAGTTGGTAGGATGTGTGTGGGTAGATTGGAGTGAATTCAGTTGTTCTGGCTCAGAAATTTGGCCAATATTAGAATTATTTGGGAGCTTTAAAATTGGCAGATTTCTCTGTCCTACCTAAGACCTAAGGAGGCCAACAGCCTCTTTTTGTCTCCTACCACTTGGTGTAAAGTAGTAGCAGAGCTTGACTTGGCTTTGCTTCTCAGGAACTGCCCCCTACCTGCATCCCGAGTCAGCCTGCCCTTGCACAGGAAGCCCTAAGTTACACCTGAGCCCAGCCTGTTGAGTGGTAGGCAGTGCTGGTTGCTCAGGTTGGCTCTTGGTAGGGCTCAGCCTTTAGCTCTCTTTGTATTCAGGGTATGTGTGGAGGGTTGAGCAGGCAGGTGGAACCAGAGGAATGAGCAGCACTCCTTTTGTGGGACAAACAGAACCCTAACTGCAGTCTCCTTTGTGCTTCTTTTGGGCTTTGGTCCATTTTGCTGCATTGTCTCTTGTCCTCTTCCAAGGACACAACCACAGCAGAGGCTTAGATGTGAGCAGGCCTAGTTTTTGTTCATTTAAAAAATGTTTCGTGGAGGGCCTGGCATTTAGCTCAGTGGTTCCACCGCCTACCTGAGTACCAAATCCCCGGTACCAAAACAAAACAAAAAAATGTTTTGTGGGCTAGGGGGTGCAGCTCCAAAGTAGAGCTTGCCTAGCATGCCTGAGCATATAGGTTCTATCCTCAGTACCACAGGCAAGGAAGAAAAAGCTTTGTTGAAATATGAACTTGATTCTTTCCACAATTCTAGTCACAAACTGAATTGGACAAAAACCAAATCAAATTCAGTTGTTAAGTTCAGTATTGACCTTATGGGGAAATTTGATTCATTTTTTGTCAAGTTTGGTTTGCGACTAGCGTCATGGAGAGAATTGAGTTCGTGAACTGAGGTACCACTGTGATTCAAATAAAATAAGGTTAATGTTCACAGTTTGATACATTTTACCACACGTATGAAGTACAATAAAAAATATGATAACTGTTTAAATTAAAAAAAATTATTACAGCAAAAGACACTTTGCCATTAATCCCCCTCAAAAGACTCCCCCCTCAGTTTGAATATGCTTACCCAATCGTTCTTTTTTTTTTTTTTTTTTTTTTTTTTTTTTTTTTTTTTTTTTTCCATACCAGGGATCGAACTTGGGACCTTTAGCTTGTAAGGCAGCTGCAGTGCCACTGAGCTAAATCCCCAGCCCTACCCAATCATTCTTGCCAGGAGAATTCTTGTGAAGCAGTTCTAGAAGTCTTCGTTCATGAATGTCCTTACTTGCACTGTCATGGCTCCTCAGCGCCTGAATCAATTTAGAACAGTTACTTTTCATGGTCATTTTGACTTTGAAAAAGAGCCAGAAGTTGCACAGTGCCAGATCCAATAAATAAGGTGGATGAGAACACACTGTAATGGTTTTATTTGACAGAAATTACTGTAAATGTTTGATTAATGAGGGATGATCATAAAATATAGTGAATACGTTAAAAAATTATTACTGTAAAAGACACATTATCACTAGCCCTCTTGAAAGCAGTCAAAATATTCTCCCTGCTTTGAACACATTTATTTCATCATTCTTGGCAATGTGTCTTTTAGTTTAATAAGTTTTTAAAAAATTTAACTATTCACTATATCTTTCAGTCACTCCTTGTATAGTATATTCCTTTGAAACTTATCATAGGCAAGATGAATTATAGACAGTGAATTTTAGAATAAATCAAAGAAGTGATCATAATGCAGGTCAAAGTCCTGTTTCCTGCAGCCTTTATTTCACAGGGACTAAGAATGGTTTCCATTTATGTTTTTCATGTGCCTCTCTAGAAATGTACGTGTATGTGTAATTTGTTTTTGTAACTTCTTTTTGCTTTCCACAGAAAATTGAGATTGTGTTACCAAAAATGCTTGACAATATGTACTTTAAATTTATGAATTGACTCTGAATTATTTCATATAGACATACCTCTCTTATTTTTTTTAGTGGTTGCATAGACTCCTGCTATATGAATGTGCCATATTTTGTTTAGCTGAGGCCTGGGTTTTAAACCAAGCCAAACCATGGAGCTGACTTAAGGATGGGGGTGCAGTGTCTTGAGAATTCTTGAGCATTCAGCCCAGAGGCCCAGGATGTGCTTGCTGTCTCACCTTTCTGAAAAATGCTTTGCTTCCTTTTCTGGGGTGTAAAGGTCTAGGAAGCAAGTAAAACTCCACTCAGAGAACCTTCTGTCTGAGTATACTGCCAAGGTTTCCATTTTCTGTGGCTGGGGAACTAGTTCAGTTTCTTATAAAAATATAGACGGTGAAACAAGAAGGAATGAGGCAAAGAGACTTGGCCTGCGGCTCGCCTCCAGTGTGCCTGCCTTTTTCCTCACAGTACTTGGCTTATAGCCCTTGAGTCCTTCCTGACTCAGGGCTCTGTCCCTCAATTACTGTGATCACTGTACTTTGTTAGTTTGTTAAATGGAGTTGACCTGTGCCATTTTTTTTTCCTTGAAAAGTGAGAGAGGGAGATATTTGATGAGTTTGGTGTGGTTTTCAGAGGAAGACACGTTGTGAGCTGAGTACTGGAAGCATCGGGGGGCTGCATGCCCCTGTCATCATCTGCAGGCTCTGCCTAGGCTGATGCGATGAGGAGTGGCAGCCCTGGCAGGGAGCCCTTCTGCTGCAGGCACCATGAGGCACTCACATGCAGCACTGCTATTTTTAATATAATTTGGGGGAGCTGGGTGTTAGCTCAAGCCATGCCCTTCCTTGCCCATCCAGATGGCAGAGTTGGCCACAGCTGCTGGGGCTCAGGCTGCCAGTGGAGAGGTGTGTTGGGGGTTGGGTACAGGGCTGGGAACCCCACTGGGGAAGATAGAGTGAGCTGTCTCCTGCCCTTCTCCCTGTTGATCCTTGTGTCCTAGAACAGACGGGGCTCCTGTTGGGGTGACAGAAGGAGTACAGGTCCTGGAATGGGGACTGGCACTGGCAAAGGCTTTTGTTTTTCTTTTCTTTCTGTGTTTTGTTTGCCTCAGTCTTGGGGAGAGGAAGAGGCACATGAGAAGAGGAGCTCACATTCACGGTGCCTTCTCTGGGCCAGGAGTTGGGCTTATGTACATGATCTCATCTGATCCTAAGCAGAAGCCCTGGGTGCTGTGGTTCACTGTCCCACTGCACAGACTTCCCAGGCAGAGAGTGCTAGCACAGACCCCAGGCTGACTGCATCCTATACTCTGGGAAACACTTGAATCATCACAAATAGTCTTTTTTTTTTTGTTTTTTTTTAAACCAGTTTGCTAAATTCGCCTAGACACCCAAGCTTTCAGATAAGATTTGGGGGTTGTTTTTGAATGGATGTTAATCCCTGGCTGAGAGTGGGTGTCATTGACCTGGCATGGGACCTTTGTACCCAGCAAACCCCAAGTGGAGCATTCGCAGGAGTGCCAGAAGGCACCCCTTTGTCCTGAGGCAGATCCTTCTTTTGCTCCACTAGTATCCCAGCTCCCCAGGATCCTTCCTTTCTGATATACTCTCCAGCTCCCCTCTATGCTGCCTACTTAATTTCAGCAGTGTCATTGGCACTGCTCATCAAGACCTCAGTGGATTTGAGTAGTCGTGGATCGCGCTGCTTTCTCTTTGCAGGTGGCAGTGCAGGCTTCCAGCACTAGGAGGCAGGTTTTGTATTTCTTGTGCATTCTGTTTGTGCCCCCAGGCCCCTGGCTCTGTGTGTAGTGGCTGGGGTCACTTGTTTCCTCCTCTACTATGAGGCTGGGGCTTAGTCAGGGCTCAGGAAGCTCCATCACAGGAAGGCTTTTGGTTTTGTGTCTCATGTGGCCCCTGTCCTCTTGAGAGCCACCCATCAGTGCTTTCTACTAAGCATGGAGTCAGCAGGAGGGGGAGACCTCTGCAGTGCAGACCCTGCTAATATATACTTTCTACTGCTTCTTGTCTACAGACTCAGGGGTTAGGAAGAGGAGACCAGGATGGCAGCCAGTCCAGCCGAGAAGATCTCCAGAGCAAGCAGTGCAAAGGCTCGGAGAGGTATAGTATGTGGGAGGTTGTTCTCTCCCCACTCTCCAAATGGAGGGCGTGACACTGCTGCTCTGGCTCACCTAACCAGGTTGTCTCCTCTGCTACATGGGGAGTGGCCCCAGAGTCTGCTTCATAGCCAGATCACTGAAGAAGACCCTCCAAAGCCTCCTGAGGGGCAACCTGAGTGGATGGAAGCAGGGGAGCCTGAGGAGGACTCTGTAGCCAGCCCCATCCTGCCGGTGTCCCTCCAGAGGTAAGGGTGAGGGAGAAGCACACCTGGGTGGTGGTGGCCCCTCTGTGTGTCAGCCCTGCTGCTGAGGGAGACAGGAGTGGAGTGGACCTGGAGGTGGAGGCTAGAGCCAGGGTGGGAGCAGCGGCAGCAGCAACAGGAACTGGAGAATGGGGAAATCTACTTCATCTTTGTCCTCATTCTGCAACTGAAATTGGGGTAGCCAGCCCGATAGGAGAGCTTGGAACTCTTTACTGAAGATTCTCTTCTGTCCCTGTGGCCTTTCTGCCAGGGATTGGGACAGAGACTTTGCCCTGGCTGCTCCATTCTTGCCAGGAGGGCCCTTTCTCCTTGTCCCCTCTTCACCTGTCAGCAGTCTGATCACTCAGCACACCAGCAAGAACCCTGCTAGGTCCAGAGAGGGAGAGTTGTACAGACTCATGGCCCGCTGAGAGAGCTGACAGAACCTTCCCATTCCAGCCTGGTCCAGAGTCCAGCGTACGTTTGCCAGTGCCTCTGTCTCCTGGAAAGAGGAAGATGCTGGTTTTAGGATTCATTTGGTTGGGATGAGCCACTGGGGATACTGAGTAGCAATGATGGTCAATCAGCGCGTCCACTGAACACTTCCTTCAGAGCTTCTCTGCGGATGTCGCAATGACTCTGCTTCCCCTAAAGGGTGTATTGTCTGGTCTTCAATGCACACAACTCAGCAAGAGGCTGGGAGGGAAGTGGGAGGTTGAAGTTCTGAGGCAGGGAAACTTTGTTGGGGCTGTCCCTCTTGTCCTATTGCAGGTCTTTGGCCCTGAATGGTGTGCAAGTCAAGCCTTTTGCCTTCCCACTGGCTTTAACACAGTTACTTCCTTATTGTTCTCAAGGGAGCAGGCCCCAAGCCCAGCAGCTGCCCGTGAGAGAGGCCAGGCCAAGGATCTGGGCCCTGGGCAGAAAGCGACCGAGGAGCCCAAGGAGAATGTGGCAGTCAGTACTGTCCCACCAGTCTCTCCGGAGGTGTAAGGGCCTGTTTTATGTGTTTGTCCCTGTCCTCACTGTATATAGATTGCTGAGTGCCCACTCTTGGGTGATGGAGAGGGGCTGCTCTGGCCCAAGGGTTGGAGTTCAGGGAGTGATGGAGTGCATCCCTGGTGCTCTTTGTATAGCCTTGAGCGCCCTATTCTCTCACAATTGTAGATCCTTGCATGGGTTAGGTTAGATACTGGGGCTTCTGGCCTGGACCCTAGGTGTGAGGTAGATAAGTGGGCACCCTTCTGGTTCATTAGCAGAAATCATGTTCCTTTTCTACCATGCACTTTTTTTTCTTGTTGAGGTATGCACGTTTGAAGTGTATGAGTCAGTGTGTGTGTGTGTGTGTGTGTGTGTGTGTGTGTGTGTTCCTGTGCATGTGTGTGTACCACATAACCACCGCTCAGATCTGACAGAAAACTTTTCCTCATGTCCCCTCAGTCCACCCACTTCAGGTCTCCGCTCTTGTGGCTTCTATCTGTAAATTTATTTTTCTTGTTCTGCACTTTTATATAAACAGAATTATATAGCATACAGAATATATCTTGTGTGCCTGGGTTCAGAGCTCAGTATGCTTTTGAGACTCTTCAGATAAGGAAATGGAGGCTCAGAATGTGGAGAGCTGGCCAAGGTTGAATCACTAGTTAGTTACAGAGTTAGCATTAGACTGTCATCACTACAGCCCCAGACTTCTGCCTTTTGCTTTGCAGCCTTTTCTCTGGATGGAGAAAGACAGGTGCCAGGATTTATGCATTGTTCCCAATGTGAGTTAGAGGAACAAAGGAGTTGGGGCTGACTGTGAGCAGAAACAGGTTGCTGCACTGATGACTTACAGGCAGTGTCACCCTGAGCTGCAGGGCACCTGAGCTTATGATGGCATGTGATTGCTGTAACCTTGCAGGAGGTGTGCAGGGGAGGGGTAGCCACAGGTTTCAGATGACAATATACTGTACTGTGAAACCGTGACCTGGGAATCATGTGGTCCTCCCAAGTTTCCTTGGTGGCTATGACACTCAGAGCAGGGTGCTTTCTGAATGTTATTCAGAGAGGAAAATCTAAACAGGGGTCAGAGGGACCTCTCCCTCTGACCCTCCCTCTGGAAGAAAGCCTGAGGCTTTCATTCCCTGCTGTGTGCCTTGCTGGTTGATGCCCCAACTTTCTGTTTTTCTCCCATCCCAGCAATGCTGCCTGGGCTGGGATCTCAAGACTCTCCTTGAGTTTCAGGCTCAGGTACATGGTCCCCTCAGGAAGTGCCTTCTCTTCCTTTCCTGAGTCTTTTCAGTTTTCATGACTTCCTGTTAATTAATTTTTCTAGCCATGCAATGCATCTCTTGGTTTTTGGGGTATTGTGTGGAGCAGTTTTGTGTCTGACAGCAGGTCAGAAAGGTTAGACACAGAAAGGTTAGGTGTGAGAGAGAGAGAGAGAGAGAGAGAGAGAGAGAGAGAAGAAGGGAGAGGGGGACAGAGGCAGGCTAGAAGGCTGGGCCTGGGACACAGGGATAGCCTCTCCTTTGTCTCTTAATGTTTTTTTGTGAGGGTTGCAGAGAGATAGATGGGAAGTGAATTAAAACCACTGGGTTGAATGTGATAGGACATGTGATCCCTTTAATTCTGATCCCAGCTTTAGTGGTAGTATGGCCACTTCAGAATGTTTCTGGAGTGCCATTTCTCTTGCCTTCCACTCTGTCTCCTTCTCTGCCTTCCTCCCTTGCTTTCCCACGAGTGTCCCCCATGTTCCCAAGTTACTGGGTGGCCAGCCTGAATTGATTATACCCCACAGAGCCTTTCCTTTGCTGTTGGAAACTGGGTCTTCCAAAGGCTGACACCCGATGGGCTGGCCTAGAAATCAGACCTGCCTCTTCCCCTGGTGTCTTCAGCTTCCCAATCATTCCCTTGATCTTGCGAGCATTGTTCACTGTGTTTGTTGGACCTAAGAGAGGCATTCTGGATACCCTGGGGAGGCAGAAGAGGCCCAGTGAAAAACAGCCCCATTTGCCTACCTGCCAGGTGCATGAGCAGGCTCACTGGTGCGTGCTGCCTGGGCATGTGCTGCCACACGATCTGATGCCCCATCTTCCTGCAGCATCGGTCCCTGGGGCTCCACATAGCTGTGCAGCCCACAAGGGAGACAGACATTAAGGTACCATGGCAGGGAGAAAAGATGTTTTCAACCAAGGTTGGAAATGAGTTGGAGGGTTGATGAGGCGGAGAGCTGCGGGGGGAGGCTCTTTCGGAGGGCAGTGTTCTCAAAGGAGATGGCGGCCATGCTGCTTACATCTGCATCAGTCAGACCATCAGGGGACTGAGGGGAAGCCAGAATCTGGAAGGGGAGGACAGGGAGCAGAAAAGATTTGATGGCACGGCTCAAGACTGATTCTGGTCTGGTTCTGATTTTTAGGAAAGAGGGAAGGATGGGTCTCGATGGTGTGTCAGCTACTTCTCTCCTCTCTCTGGTATCAAGGGCTGCAGTGGGATTCCTAAGCCCCGTTTTCTTGTGCTGTTCTGTTCCCGCCTGCTGTCTTCCATCTGGCGTGTAGAGCTGGAGGGAGAGGGGGCTCTGAGTCCTCAGTGGGGGTGGTGGGGAGGGCAGGACGTGACGGACTAGCATCTCTGCTTGACTCTCGCTGGCTCCTCTTTGATTTGGGTTCTGCCCACACGTTCCTGCTGAGGTGGACTGAGCTACTGTGTCAGGGCTGCTGAGACAAGTTTCTGTCTCATGGCCTAGGTACTGGGGAGTGCAAGGGTGGACTGGCCTTAAAAAAGTCACTTTAGGAGGTGAAACACTATCCTGTTTAGGCTTTCATTGCTGGAAATTTTCTGACTTTCACTTTGAATATTCCTTGAAGAACAAGCAAAACAACAACTCTCGTTACTCTGTAGACATCTTATAAACTAATAACCAATGTATCTTGCCACCTGTGCCTGCATTCAAGTTAGCTCTGAATTTCTTTCACCCATTTCCAAACACTAATAAACTCTGAGCAGATGAAAACCTGCCACCACTGGGGAAACAGCATAGAGCCCCACTTTTGCTACATTTTTATCTCAGAAGGATCTCCTGCCTGACTCCCTTAGAGGTGAGGGACGGGGGTTACCTGTTCCTTGGACCTCCATGCTGTTTCCCCCCCAGAAGTGGGAACTGAACCCCGAACCTTTGCACTGAGCTACACCCACAGATAGATAGATCCTCAGTTTTTTTTTCTAATTTTGAGACAGGGTCTTGCTAAATTGCTCCAGCTGGGCTCGAACTTGGGACCCACCTGCTTCAGCTTCTCAGAATGCCCGGATTACAGATGTGTGCCACCGTGCTTGGCTTAAAGGACTGTGGCAGACTTCAGGACTGCTTTTTTCTGCGAGTTTGTGTACATTGATGTTAACTCAGTTTGGGAGGCAGAGAGCAATCTCTGGGGACTGTTCCCACATAGCTGGTCTGAATCTCACAGAGCAAGCAGAGCCCCAGTGGGGACATGGAAACAAGGCCCTGAGCCACTCTGGGTAAAAACCCACTGGGGACAGCACTCTTCCTGTTTCTGCCAACTCTTGAGCCAAGCTTCAGGTTTTGACCTCAGGCCACAACCTACCAGCTGTGATGAGAGCCTTGCCTTGGGTTGCTCGTCTCTTTGGCCCTTTGGCTTTATTCAGCCACAGTGGGCTTATCCTATAGTACAGTTGTTGGCTGC